CACAGGTTTAAATAAAACAAAGAAGGGGGATAGTTGGTTGATTTTCCAGAACGCCATCGAAGCCATCTGACATGTGTTCCTAGAATTCTAGATGGCCTGTGAGGTGTGATCAGCTGACGACGGAATATAGACTGGGAATTCGCAGGTCCAAATGGCGTCGCGCAGGGTTACTGGATGTTAGAACAGTTTGAGCTTGCACAAAACTGTTTTTGAAGCAATTACCTGACTGAGCTGATAATGCCATTGAGTCATTCTTGATGGAAGATATTGACTTGCCAGTCTTATATTTACGCAACCAACTTAATCCGTTTAGTTGGAAACGTTTTGAGTCAGGTGTCCAAGCAGTGGACTTTAAAAATTAAGGAATCTCTTCTACAAAGTCACCACTTCAAGAAGCTCTCTTTTGTTCATGATGCAGTGAGACCTCGCAAACGTATAAAACCTGAACTCCACCTGGCGGTAAGTCAGGTGGGATCGGCTAGTCAGCTTACCACCTTCCGGCACATGACTGCGGTTACTGACCGAGACCAGAATGAATGTAGTGTGGGTGTGACCTACGACAGACGAAAGCACCAATAACGCTCGTGGCCGAATGTTTCGATCTTCAGCTACTAGCCAGAGGGTAAAGGCTTCGTACCACCCTATTAGTTTATAAGGCGAGTACTTTGGGCTATTCCCAGCAAATAAAAACAGATGTACACGGCTTTTTAGCGCAGAAGTTCATCTCACTTAGAAGCCAAAGTCCCGACTGAAAAATTCCAAAGTCTCTTCAGGCTTTCAGCATCTGACGTCAAGATAAAGGGCACTGAAATAGGTCACCTGTCTGCCTGTCTGACCGTCTGTTTCGGGGACAGTTGCCAGATCTTGATAGATTTGAAACTGGGAAACCAGTGTGAGCTAGCCCTTAGCTGAGGTTCCAATGGGTGCCGGTATAATGATAGTGTATCGTAATATACGATAGATTAAATCTAGATGTGGCGTTACTCGGTATTATTCGAGCCCATACTCACCAATCGCATTCTGTATGGTTAAACTGATGGCTATTAAAGTACATAAGCCATCATGATATCACAAGACTTTATACCTTGCTCTCGAAGAGCACCGTACGTGCACCTGCTCAGTCCTGCTAATCGTGTCATGTTAGCTGTCTAAATAGTTTTCCAATTAGTCACGTGACCCCTTTTTCGTTTTTTTCCAAGTGATAAACTTGCTAGATGTTTGCAGTTTCACGGTCGGAAATGAATTTGTCGAATATGTCATGAGATTAGAATTTCCAGCAATCCTTCAGATATTTTGGTGACCATTTGAATTAATTTGAATTCAACATGGTGGTGTAGACAAGAGAAGCTGGGAATGGATGATTCTCTCACTTAGAAATCCGATGAAACACCTAGAACAAACTGACCGTGATTCAAAATCGTCTCCGCGGCTGTAACACCTTTCGGTGTCTAGCTGACATATCGATCATAGGAAGCACAGAGCTGAGATACAACCAGGCTGCTCAAACCTAGATAGGAGCAGTGGAGATTCTGAGGTTGGGTTCAAACCACGGATCTTCCAGTCACTATGTTCGCACCTTATTCGGCGAGCAATCACTATTTAAACATTAGGTAAAACTTAAACGTGGTCTTGTTGATTGTCCTTGAAAACGTTTGTGGGGGGGGGGGATTGTTTTGCTCAATGGCGGAATGAAAGAATCTAACGCTGGGTTAGAAGTCAAACATTTTTGCAGACATTGCTTCATATTATGTGGCTACATACTGTTGTTCCCGCGTAGCACGCAGGACAAGTGCATTTTGACTCCACTGTCCATGTATCTTTTGGAAAATTCGCAAGAAAACACCAAGAACAAAGGTTTCATGAACTGGAAACGGTTGTTAAGACTGCTCGATCAATAAATCCGCTAGATATCAGCTAGTCGCTTGGTTCACGGTACGGAGTTCTCCTTAAATTCGAATTTGTTTCTCAGATTACAATCTATGTATAATTATGGGAATCTGACTTCAACCTAATCTGCTACGGACTATGTTGGAAAACACTGAGCTGTCTACTTTGATCGCGATGGTTTATATCCATTCTGTAAACCCCTAGTCAATGCAATCACTTGGTATTGGTTGGTTCTCGTTCTGTTTGTTGCCCGGTGCGCACGTCCATCCAACTATCATGCGTGCGTCTACATAAACCAGTCCACCTACGGACTCAACCCTCTCAGCACGCAGTGCGTCCCGATAGCCAGTTTGTTGGGATGCGGTGTAATTCTTGGAATCTGTGCGTGGGCGTTCTCTCTGTTGTCCTGCGCTCACACTGCGGCGTTGCCGAGGTTCGATTACCCAACATTCACAGGTTTGTCACACAGGACAGCTATGTAAATAGCTGGTCTCATGCCTGTCCGTCCGGCCGGGTGGCTGGTCAAACTCTAGTTGCTCTTACCAATCTGTGTGGATGAGTAGCTATCACACACACACACAACCAAGGAGAACTGTGTTGATTATCTGCCAAACTACAGCTCAGCAGGATAGCATAGAAGGCTGGCTGGCTGGCTGGTTGGCTGGCTGGTCGAGTAAACATCCACTGAGACCGCAGGAGGAATTCGTTCTCGGAACAGATCAATTGAACACGTGTCAGTTTGCATCGCTCTAATCCTAAGGACTAAGATTGTCCAGTGTTTTTCACACGCCTCATCAAATACGCCAATAGCTCTCGTCATCCCGATCTCGATGTATTTCACTAAAGTCTGATATGGATTACAACGACCGAACTGTGAGCATACGTAGACACACACTGATGTCCGAATTGGTGTCATCGCATCACCGCTGAACTCTGCTCTTTGTTCTCGAGGATTTCTGGGTGATACTACATGGCTAAATGTTGTTTGAATTCGGACGACTTAAGCTTTTCTGGGGGATATTTTGTGCATGACAACAACGAGTATATCGCCAAAAAATGTGCCGTCTGCCGAGTTCGACCGAGAAACTACGAAATCTTCATTGTGGATGTTGGCATTCACCGCCGCCTCATCATCATCATCATCGATTGATCGAGAAGTGGGTGCCGCTCCAACATTCCTTGTTTGCTCACTGTTCAGTTTCGGTTACTGAGATCAATATCTTAACGATTTGGACCAAACCTATCCCTGCACACGCACCGTGCTTCATTGGGCGTTTCCTTGAATTGTGGATTATTGAGCTCCGGTTGGAGCACCAGATGGCTGAGGAATCCTTCGATAGTGGTGTATCAAGTGAACACTCTCAGTATACAATCGAACACAAATCCTGTCCTGATACCGTACAGAAGCATAACGATTTATGTGCGGACATTTGGAGCCCGACATCCTGCGGTCACAACGGCGAAGGATATTATGGGCCTAAGCCAGCCCCGTACTGCTCACACATTCATTCAGACTCAAGTCTTGACCACGTTAAAAGATCCTGTCTCAAACGAAACTATCGACAACGGAGTAAACCCCTACTACGTTCTGATCAATTGGCTTCGGACACGGAGCCAGTCGGGTCCGTGCACTCGAACCCAGTCCAATTTATTCGACGTAAGGCGAAAGCGCCTGGTGCCCAGATTCAAGTATTTTCGGACTTGGCTTCTATCAAGACTATGTCCTCAAACCCCAGGGATTATCCCAATGGCTCAATTGGCCCGCAACGTTCATCTGTATATCCAGAGATTGCGGGATCTCGTGGAATGGAAAGTCGTGTTGTACACTTTGCCCGTGAACAAAGAGATGTAGGTGAAAAGGCTGTATGTGAGCGGTCTTTGCTACCGGATATCACGTTGGATGAACGGATTCGCTTGACCGATTCAAGAAGCCGAACATCTCTCCCAGAATATTCCCGCCCCCCACTAATTCGAAATTACTCGGCCCGAGATTATGTCTATCTCCCATCCCTGCAACAAAATCAAATGGCTTCATCCGTCCCCGTTCTCAGTCGGCAACAAACGTTACGTTCGCTGTTGGCAAACCAGTTAGATGAACATTCTGAAGTTCTTCCCAGTGAACCGAGTATAGAAAACCGCCCTCGGGATTCCACATACTCTGCACACGTCCAAGTACAACCAACGTCTGAGGTTGCATCCGGACGTACTGTGCTGGATCGTATAACGAGTGATATGTCCTCTGTCACTCTTGGAACTGATCAGGAAAGACAGCAGCTACTCTCTGCCTTACTTTCGGCATCCAAACCGACTACCTCATCAAGCTCCCAAACATCGGTTTTACAAAGCCTACTTCAGCGAGTCAATCCCCAGTCTGGGGTAGGCACATCACGGCCGCCGGTGAGTGCACGGTGGTCCGACAGTGATATGACCATGATTAGTGATGGACACCGTCAGCAGAATTTGCGCATGCAGAAGCAACAACAGCAGCAGCAGCGATTATTGCAGCAACAGCGGCAGCAACAGCAGGCAGCTGCCGCGGCTGCAGCAGCGGCTGCGGCTGTAGCCATCGCCACAATGCAGTGCACTCCAAGGTCAACAATCGGAGTTGTTTCACCGACGAATAGGGCTGCCCAAACTGCCCAACAACCAGTGCGGCGTATACCAACACGTTCGTGCTATTCCTCGGGCGATGAAGAAATGCAAGCCCCAGGGGCCTCAGTTTTGTCCGAATTGGTGAATCAGTTTGTTCAGTACCGAGAAGGGTTGCCCGGTGGGGCAAAACATACTGGTGCCACCTGTCAAAATACATCTCTGTTCACCCGTGCACCCACACAGGCAGGTCAGACATCTTCATCTATGCCTGGCCAAGCGTTTGCCCAAGGTCAAATGAAAATCCAGGCTAGTGGATCAGCCGAGGATTACGCAAACTATCAGAGTTTAGATGCAATACTGGGGCAAATGCACGCACAGCCTCCTCCACCTGCCCCGTGTCAGCCTATGGATTTCCGCCCTCTTACAGGTGAGCGTTGATCATCAGACGTTATTTTATCTTGGTATTCAGTCGATTGCTAGAATAGCCCAAAAAATGTCTGGGTCTATCATAACTTGTCTGATAACTCATTGACATTGCAACCCGGATTGTGTTAGCTGACATCAAATGGCGAGAACTAGTTAGTATCAAATAGATTTTAGTTTCAACCAATCTATTTTAGCTCGCATCATGATCATTGTCATCAGAGAATCCACATCAATGTTGACGTTAAAGTATGACGCTAAAGTACAACCTCAACGCTTGGTTACATACATTTAAAGCGTTAAAGTGAAAAGAGGAGAATAGAGTGTATCATAGAGGGACTTGGTGCAGACGAGGCATCCTGAGTTGCGGAAACCTTCAAGCGCTCAAACAGGCAACCTGGGAGTAAACTGACTGTACGAACGCCCGCGACATTGATTAGCCGATATTTCTTGCAGTGTCTCCACCCAAGCGGGTACCCAAAACTGGAAGACGAACAGTATTAACAACAGAAAAGCTTTCGTAGT